GCTTAGAAAATCCAGAAAATCTGATTTGTATTATTTGTTCTGTCACCCATAGCTGTGAGCCATGTGTGCTTCACTTCTCCAGGCACCTTTCTACACCTTTGTAATTGTGTATTCATGTACGCCTTTGTTTAGCTGAAATCTCTATTCAGTTTGGTTGCAAGCCAGCAGGAAGGATCTCTAGTTCCAAAAGTTGCTTGTTTTGTGTGTCTCTAACAATTATTGCCTTGAAGTGTAGGCATGCAGTAATTATATTTATTTCATGTTACTATTTTACTTTGCTTTAACATCTACTTTATTGTCTTGTATTTTTGCTCAAAAATTTATTAAAAAAATTTTCAAATATTCTATAATTTAAAATTTTAATGAACATCATAGCTGTATATATTACTTTTAACTTTTTCTATAGTTGCATTTTATCTGTCCACTTATCCATCCCTTTATCTACCTACTGATTCATCTTTTCTGTATTTCAAACTAAAGTACATATATTAAGCTTGCTTTCCCTTGAGTACTTAAGTATTCGTTTTTATTATTATTCAGTATTTTGGTTTTCTCTTTTGAGAAAAAATAGTGAAATGCAGAAATCTCAACTGCTTTTTAGCTGAATTTTAACAGATACAAACACCAGTGTAATCTAAATCCATCAAAATACAGAACATCACCCCAGAAAATGCTGTCATGTCCTTTTCTGTTCAACCCCTACCCCATGAAGCAATAACCGCTTAGATTGTTTTCTAACATAGTTTTACAAGCTCTAGAAATGAAAATCAATGAAACTGTGTAATAATAAATATTTGACATAATAGTTTTATATATCATCCTTTCATGATACATTTTTATTGCTGGATAGTACTTCATTGTATAAAGAGGCCACATTTTGTTCATCCATTGTGTTAGTATTTCTAATTATTAGCTGTTACGAATAAAGGTCACATGAACATTCTTGTGAATAATCATTTTGTAGACATGTCTTCCTTTCTCTTGAGAAAATACTATTGAGTGGAATTGCATCATTCGTGATTGTGTATTATTAGTTTTAGGAAATTGCCAGACTAGCAAAATGGTATGATTTTAAACTCTTGCCAACCATGTATGTATGTATATTCTGGTTCTTCCATATCTTAATTGGCATTTTGTATTGTTGGTCTTTTTATTTTAGCCATTTAGGTGTTTATTGGTTCCTACTTTGCTTTATAGTTGACTAATACATGTCTTTCTTCTGGTATAATACTTTCATCTAACCTTCTTGAAAATCAGGATAATCTCTGTACCCCTTTCTAGTATCTGTCCTGTCCTTTCAATCTAGTAGGTGTGGAATAAATGTGAAAATGATGGCAGTGAATGAATGCCAGTGAATAAAAGAATGAATGAATGATGACACCTAGTTTTGAGACTTTGGTGTAGCAAAAAAATTAAGTGATTAAAAGATATAGAGATAATTATTTCTAGAAAAGTTGTTTAATAGTTATATTTTATTATAATTAAGAATTATTTCTTACACCAAGACGATATTTACAGTGTGGGATTTCCATAGGTACAAATGATGCAAAATGTACACCTGGCCCCAGAGACAGATGAAGATGATCTTTATTCTGGTTATAATGATTACAACCCAACCTATGATACTGAGGTAAGAAAAAAAATCATTCACTTTTCATCAATCTTTGTCAATCATCTGGTTCATGAAAATTTTGGATTTGAGGTTTCTGTTTTATTACACTTTAAATTATCTGATTTAAAAAACCTAGAA